CTGTTTCCAGCGCCATGCATCGGTGGATCAATACAGGAGCTGAGACCTCCAGCCTCCTGACGGGTGGGTTAGTGAGTGCATCTAGTTTGGTCGGACTACGCACAGCGCGGGTCATAGATATGTCAAAACTGGGTAACTATCTCCGACTGCTCTCACTGCATCTGTGGTATGGCTATATCCAACTACGGAGTACAGTGTAGAACATTTGGTTTGATTGCAGGAAAATCGATCGGGGATAGTAGATTAGTAATCACAGGCCAGCACGATCTGCAATCAGCGGCAACCGAAAATGAAACGACATCCATGACCTCTTGCATTCCGTGGGGTCAGTATGGCTAGCAGTGGGTCAGATGCAGCTTTTGCGTACCATGAGCCGAGCATCTCGACTCTTCTCAATCAGGCTGGACTTTTAGTGGTCTTGAACCTCATCAATGTCTGCCTCGATAAGCTACTGTACTGTGGACTGATCGGTCAACTGTTCATCGGTATCCTCTGGGGTACTCCCGGGGCAAAATGGCTGGATACGGAGACTGAAAGAGTGATCCAGCAATTGGGCTATGTTGGGCTTATCATGCTGGTGTATGAAGGTAAGTCTTATTGGTCCAGGGGAATGATTCATGACTCACTTAAGTAGGTGGCTTATCAACCTCAATCAAATCCATGAGAGCCAACCTCGTCATTTCGCTATGTGTTGCCCTCACTGGGATCGGGGTTCCCATGGCCTTATCGTTCATCTTGGTGAAGCTGGTCTCCGCCAGCCCCCTTCAGGCCTTCGCTGCAGGCGCGTCTCTCAGCGCAACCAGTCTTGGCACCACTTTCACCATACTATCAACAACTAATCTAATCCCTACACGTCTTGGTACTGTCACTACAAGTGCCGCTATGCTAGACGATGTTGTTGGTCTTGTCATGGTTCAAATCATCTCAAACCTTGGTGGTAGTGCTTCGTCGTTCAATGCTGTTACTGTGGTCCGACCCTTATTCGTCTCTATCGGCTTTGGATTAGGTGTCTTCATCCTATGCGCATTCTGTCTGAAGCCGATCCTGCAAAAGGCTCTCACTATGAGAGGTAATCTGCCGCAATTTATGGGATCTATGCAATTTGCTTTCCTTGCGCAGACATCTATGCTGGTAGGGCTTATTGCGGGCGCTACCTATGCAGGGACCTCCAGCCTATTCGCTGCGTATCTTGCGGGTGTGATTATTTCTTGGTTTGATGGATTGGCTGCTGATAGCCATATTCCGAACACTAACACGGATTGCAATAATCCACAGTCAGGATCTGGCGTGCTAGGTGAGCGGACTACTTCTGAACAGCCTACACCTCAGGATCGTTCGAACAGCAATACTCCAGGCACGCCGCGGGAACCTTCATACAATCCACATGAAAAGATTCCGACCGGTATAGAAGTGTATGACAAGTACTATAAAGAGCCCGTGAATCGAATTTTGATTCCATTGTTCTTCGTAAGTCTTATCCCTGGTGGCCAAATTCTACCTCTAACATGTACAGGCCTCCATCGGCTTTGCTATACCTATCACTAAGATGTTCCGCGGAGACGTTGTATGGCGCGGTGTCATTCATGCCATCCTCATGATGCTCGGAAAGATGGTCACTGGTCTATGGCTCGTTCGTTTCTCGCTACCTTCGACAAAAACTCTGCTGTTTGCTCTTAGGAAACCGTTCTCTTGGGCTCTCTTCTCCTGCACTTCTCGTAAAAGCGAGGACAAGAAAAAGAAGAAATCAAAGGAGAAGGATACTCGCCCTAGACGCCAGTCTGCAGTTCGTACAGAACAGTCTGATCAAACTGCAGATACTAGAATCTCGGCCGAACACAGGGGAAACCCCCAAAATCCTAACCGCAATGAGCCTGTATCTGAAACAGAACCTCAAACCACCTCATCCAATCTCAGCAGTACCATGTCCCTCCCTCCCAAACCGAGATCGCTCTATCCCCCGTTTATCCTCGGGCTGGCAATGGTTGCCAGAGGTGAAGTTGGGTATCTCATTGCTTCTCTCGCGGAGAGCCAGGGGATGTTCTCCAGTGGATCTAATGGCGAGATCTCGGAGATATATCTGGTAGTTATTTGGGCCATTTCGATCTGCACACTGGTGGGACCTATATGTGTTGGGACTCTAGTCAAACGAGTGAAGAAGCTGCAACAGGTTCGGGGATCTTTAGGCGCGGATCCTTTGGGGGTTTGGGGAATCTAACGCTAGGAAAAGAAATTCAAAATTCAAAAAGCATGGAGAGATATGATTGAACTGGTGTAGTCTATGCGGGCGTAGTGTGTCTGATTAGGGTGATTCTTTGCGTTTGTCACGTGTTAATCGCTATTTCTTCGCTGTTTGTCTTTCTCAACAAACCCACTTAATCATCCTACTACTGCTGGTCCATATCACGACTAAAGCTTAAAAAAATACGTATTATATGATACTAGAGTTGCATCTCACCCTAAACTCATTCCTTTATGATTGAAGGTCCCATCACATTCTCCACTTCCAGGTGCTGTCAGAAGCGGAAGCCATCTTCACATGCCTTCATATCTTAAGCAAAACGTGGCTTGATTCCAATTCAGAAACACTGTAAGATGATGTATTATGATGTCAGCCCACAAGGGCTTGGAAAGCCTCCATGATCTCGCGGGCCGAATTAAAGTTAACCTCACTTGAGCTACAGAAACTCCAGACCCTCCGACAGAACTGATCCATGGATGTTTCCAGCCCAGGCAGGTTGATAAACCCCACGTGCCCGGCTGACTGGTATCCATCTTCTCTCATATCGATCTGCTCGAGTCTTGCTGTCACTTCAGACACCATTGACTTCCTTCCTGAAAATGCCATATCCAAACGAGTGATTGGGGATGGAAGCTTGAGGGAGTGTCTGGAACTCAAGGAAAGACATAAGTAAGCATGTTAGCACGATGTCCACTCTCCAACCACCTTCTCATCTTCATGACCTATGCAGTCCACTAACACGCTCATATATTCTTGCAGGACCTACCCCTTGTGACACCTTGTTGGGATGATATGGCTGCCTCCAATACGGCCGCGTTCCCCAACTACAATGTTGACCTTTCTCATGTGGAGGATCCGAACGAGCGTCGCCGTTTAGCCCTCGCGCGCATCGATGACGCTCCGTTCGGATGGCGTCACGCTCGCGCGGTTGTTGTGGCAGGAGTGGGCTTCTTCACCGACTCCTACGATATCTTCGCCATTAACCTCTGCTCAAGCATGCTGGGTGTTGTCTTCTGGGAACACGCGACCAGCCGCCCTGGCAAGATCCCATACAGCTCGGACACTGCCATCAAGGTCTCCACCTCGGCTGGTACCGTCATCGGCCAGTTGTTCTTTGGATGGTTGGCAGATATTGTCGGTCGCAAGCGCATGTACGGGATTGAGCTGATCATTATCATATTGGCTACATTGGCACAGTGCTTGTCCTCAAATTCTCCTGCAGTGTCTATCACAGGCCTTTTGGTATTCTGGCGTACAGTCATGGGTATCGGTAATGGTGGTGACTATCCATTGTCATCAATCATTACTTCGGAGTATGTCCTTACTCTGTACAACTGTACTCAGCTAACCGATTAGGTTCGCAAATACAAAGCATAGAGGGGCCATGATGGGAGCGGTCTTTGCCATGCAAGGCTTTGGACAGTTTGCTGCTGCCATTGTCGCTCTGATTGTGACGGTGGGTTTTAGAGGCTCCCTGGAATCTGCAGCCTCCGTGAGTACATGCAGTGGAGTCTGTCAGCTGGCCGTGGATAAAATGTGGCGGGTCGTCATTGGGTTCGGAGCGGTTCCGGCTTGTCTTGCGCTTTATTATCGTTTAACCATCCCTGAAACCCCGCGCTACACCTTTGATGTTGCCAGAGATTTACTCAAAGCGGATGAAGATGTTGAAGCTTACATTCTGGGGAAACACGAAGGTCATCCTGACGAGGTCAAACGGGTAGCTGTGCTTCAAAGCGCCGATGTCAGACTCGTGACTCCAAAAGCAAGCTGGTCCGACTTTCGTTCACACTTTACAACATGGAAGCATGGCAAGGTATTGCTCGGCACTGCCGGATCGTGGTTCTTCCTTGATGTTGGTAAGTATACTCTCCTTTGACTGTAACGAGCTGACTTTATAGCTTTCTACGGGCTTGGTCTCAACAATTCCATAATATTGACGGCCATCGGCTGGAACGGTGGAAGTACTGTGTATGAGTACTTCTACCGCAACGCTGTGGGCAACCTGATCTTAATCTGTGCTGGAGCCATTCCAGGCTACTGGGTGACGGTTGCAACGGTCGACCGGCTTGGCCGCAAGCCAATCCAAATTACCGGATTTGTGATATTGACCATCATATTTATCATCATCGGGTTCGCGTATGAGCCGCTGAAGAGGTCCGACAACGGATTATTGGCATTATACGTGGTGGCGCAGTTCTTCTTCAACTTTGGGCCGAACGCCACCACGTTCATTGTGCCAGGGGAGTGCTTCCCTACGCGGTATCGGTCAACCTCGCATGGGATCAGTGCTGCTTCTGGAAAAATCGGTGCCATCATTGCGCAGTGTGTATTCGGGCCGCTGGCGCATCGGGGAGCGAAGGGAGGCGTTAACTCATCTGATACCCCGTGGCTCAATCATATAATGCAAATATTTGCGCTATTCATGTTGTGTGGGGGCTTAACCTCGCTGCTTATTCCAGAGACGAAGCGTCTGACTCTGGAGTATCTGTCCGGCGAAGAACCTACACCCACACCCATGGTCACAGCTTCAGGACAGGAGCAGGGGCCGAAGCGGGAAAGAACGTAGAGGAACGGTAATTAGGATGCGTGCAGGTAGTTCCGCAGCATAATAGCTAGCTAGATAGGGAACAAGAGGTCCAACAGGCAATCACCAGCACGGTAGCATTTTGGACAAGAGTATACGATAAAAAGTTTGCAATATGAATTTTTCCGGAGAAGTAAACTGCGAAGCATTAGCTTAGTTCTTTTAAAATCAAATGCGATCAATGTTTGCAATGTACACTAAATCAGTAACACTGCAAAAGCAGCGTAGATAGCATTATGGAACCTGCGTCAGTATGTTTTCACTCACCACATCCCACCTGTATACTTCTCTCGCCTCACCAACCACCTCCCAAAACAACCTCCCTTATCCCAACACCTACGCCCTCAAGCCAAATCCACACACACAACCAAGATGCCTAGCACCACAACCAACCCCCTCACAACCTCCACCACCACCACCGAAGCCGACCAAATCGCCTCCCTGCACCTCATAGCAGACAGCATCGCCCAACAACGCCAACTCGCCGCCCGGTCCATGCTCACCCACCCGGCCATGCTCTCCTGCCTTACCTTCTTCCTCATCATAACCTACTTCTTCACTCGCGCACTCAGCACCACCTCATCCTCCGAAGGAGACGATACCTGGCCTTACCTTCTACTCATCACCTGGCCCGCCTGCATCATGGTGTATCTCCTCGCCGCGGCGCACACAACACACCCATACCTAGAGAAAGCAGGCCGTACGGGGACCTGGGTGTGGTTGTGGAGGGGAGGGACGAGGTATAAGCATCGGCGGAGAGAGCGATCACCTTCACCATCTCGACCTGCGTCGTCGTCGTTATCTTCTACATCTAAAGTGGGAGATGATACCCGCGTGCAGAAATATCACCACAAGGCAGAAAGACACGAAGAAGACGAGAAGGAAGAAGATATAATACTCGTAACGAAATACCATGACCGGGTGATCGGCACGCTCGTCCTGCGGATCATACACACTGAGGAGGAACTCTGGGGCCATGTGCGGGATGCGGTGGTACGTGAACAGCTTTATCAGCAGCGGAATGCTCCTTCACCTCCAGCAACAGGGTTCTGCCAGCCAGTTGTCGGCGTCATTCGAGCATGGACTGTGCAGCAACATCTTAGGGGAATCGGAGTGGGGAGGAGTCTATTGGAGAATGCGGTTCGGATTTGTCGGGAGCGGGGGATCAACGGCCCTGTGTTTTCGGATTGTCATGCGAATGAGGTGCTCGGGTTGCCGGTGGTCTGTAATGGGGAGGTTGTGAGGAGGGAGAGGTGGGCGAGGGAGGTGTTGGAGAGGGTGAAGAGGGAGGTTAATGATGCAGTGTAGTGTAGTGTTTAAGGGGTGATGGTGCAGGTACCGATGGGGGATGTGATGTGTGTAGTGCAGTGCAGTGCAGATGCATTACACCGTACGGGGTACTTTGCATTCAACCATGGATATGACGTGAAAGTCAGAGACATGGATGGATGGATGGATGGATGGATGGAATGAATGGAATGGAATGGAATGGATGATGAATAGATCCATAGCATAATACTAAAATTAACCCATCATCAGCTACACTACAGAGTACATTCATGCCACTTAGTACAATACCCTCACTCAAGAAAAGTACTTTACAGTAAGTAACAACTGAAACATCCCCAATCAAACCAAAGCACCTCGCCCCAAAAAAACAACAACAAATCAATGCAATAATATTCATATTAATGAATGCAAGCATCCAATAACCCCATCCCACAAAAAAAAACCTACCCTGAACCACGTCACCTGATGGATGAAGGCCAGCTCGGATCCCCCTACGTGGATTGAACTTTCCCCCCGATCTGGTAATCCTGGGGTGCGATCCCGCGTTTCGTCTGTTGTGATTGGCTACACCTGAAACCTGCATTGCCTGATGGCCCCGTATTCTAGTCAGTTACGGCTGGTATTGCCATGTATTGCCACTGATAAATATAGGGTCTGGTGGGTCTGCCAAGGGTCTTGGTGGATCGGCTGCCTTGGGCTGGCTTGGTTTGGCTTGGGGTCTCCTGTTTGGGATTGTAGCTGTTTGGAAAATCCGGAGGTGAGATATTTATTTACTTATTTATAATTAGTACCTTTGTTCTCGCATTTTCTTTCTTTCGCCTTTTCTTTCTCTTCCTCACCTACCTACATCCTACCTACGCAAACAACACTCGTTTCGTTGTTATCCACATCCACATCTACAACCACACACTCGTTCCACATACTACACATTCTCTCTACTACCAAATCACACCCTCTCCGAGGAGCCAAAAAAAGAAATCAAAATGTCCACCACAACCGCCACAGCCACCACCACCGCCAGCACATGCACCTCCACGGGCAACCTATACGTCCTCCCCGTGCAAGACGCAGCATGCGCGCTCCCCAACACCAACAACGCGAGCGCCATCATGGACAAGTGCTGTTCCCCCGCCAGCCCAACCAAATACGACAACGACTGCGGAATCTACTGTCTGGCACAGGGGCAGGACGTCAAGGAGCTTCTCTCCTGCATCCAGTCCAACGGGGCCGTCGAGGACCCCTTCTGCTCCGGTAACTTGACTGCGACGGCGACGGCGAGCGTGACGGGCACGAAGGCTACGGGGTCTTCTACGAAGACGGGGACGAGTACGGGAAGTGCGACGAGTGAGACGGGGTCGTCGGGGGCTGTGCCGATGAAGCAGGTTGGGGTTAGTAAGGTTGGATTGGGCATGTTGGGGATGGTTTTGTGTGGGGCTGTTTTGGGAGGTTTTTAATTCATGGATTTATTGATGGGTTAATGGGTATGAATATGGGTTGGGGGATGGTTTCGGGTTGAATGTATTCTATTTCGATTCGATGCGATTCGGTTCCATGATTGTAATGTTACTTATTTATTATCGAATTAATTACTATCTTTCTGCTGGGTTGAGGTTGCTACACCCGCCACTTCCCATGTACTTCAGCTCGCACCCAGAAACATGCCACCGTCGCAGCGAACAACAACACTCCCACTGTGATAGCAGCCCGCTCATATGTCCCCGACTCCGTCAGGGCGGAGCCTCGTGGTATCAACAGCCCCGTCAGCGGCGTGCCAAGCAACGCCCCGACCCCCCGCACCAGATACAGCGCCCCATTGACGCTAGTGAAATGCTGCACGCCAAAGAGCTCCACCAACGATGCGGGGAAGAGGGAGATATACGCGCTAGCAAAGGCGCCATACAGGATCGTGAAGACGATGAAGAGTCCGTGTGCTGCGGCGCTCGAGGCCAGGGATGAGGGCAGCCAGAAGGCGAAGACGGCGACGGCGCTGAGCAGCGTCGTGGCGGCGAGGGCATTGATTCTGCCGAGCTTGTCGGCTGCGTAGCCGATGATTATGCGGGAGACAAAGTTCGATGCGTTGCTTAGCGTGATGAAGTTGGCTGCTGTCGTAGCGCTGTAGCCCAGGGCTTGGGCGTATGCGGCGTAGAAGAAGAGCGGCGTGGAGTAGCCGGCGGATTGGAGGAAACAGCCGAGGGCTTGCGCCGTGAAGCGTTTGGAGCGGGCTACACGCCAGTTGACGAGAGGGACGGAGAAGAGTCGGACCCATTTGGGACGAGGGTGGGAGCTGCTGCTGGATGATCCGGCTGCTTGCAGTTTAACTTGTTCGTGGAATTTGGGCTCCCAGCGCAGGATGCTGCCGGCGGCGGTGACGGTGGTCAGTGAGATGCAGCCTGAGATGCGCAGGGCGTTGCGGAAGCCCACATGGGAGATCATGGCCCGCAGTGCAGGCGGCCAGATCATGCCCCCCACTCCGGTCCCCGAGATGATGATTCCCATGGCGAGGCCGCGACGTTTGCTGAACCAGGTTGGGGCGACCGCCATGGTGGGAACGTAGGCCATGCAGGTGCCAATGCCCAGGAGTAAGCCCTGTGTTAGGGCAAAATGCCATAGAGCCTTGCTGAAACTGGCGAGGATGTAGGCGATGCCGAACACCCAGCCGCCGGCGATGATCACGGCTTGTGGGGAGAAGAGTTTCGCCCAGGACATGGCAAAAGGGCCCGCCATCGACATGAGCGCGATGGCCAGTGTGCCGATCAGGTCGATGAGCGCAGTCGTGCTTCCGGTAAACGGAGTGTCTGGTTCGCGGGCCATCTCTTCATAGAGGGATTGGTAGACTCCAAAGGAGAACACGAAAGCGCAGGTCGTGATCATCACGATGAACCCGGCTGCCACAACGGCGACATAGTGCCTTGGTTGTCAGAAATGTTGAACCTCTTGTAGGTTGGTGGGCTTACCATTGGGGATAAATCGGTTCAGGAACAGGCTCACTCCTGCTATTCGAAGCCCGGTCCACATCCTGCGGCATGGATGACCCCTGCTCAGCCGCCGACCGGGAGCGATCAGACAATTCTACTTCTATCTTCTGGCTCGCCATGACTACCATGAGAAGCACAAGGTGGATCGATCGATTCATCCAAGCCTTATTAAAGTTGATCTGATAAGACGGCAGCTTGCCGAGTCTCGTTTCCGCGGCTAAAGCATCAGCCCGCCGCACACGGCAATCTCACAGCTTCATCTACCGGCGCTGCGGATCCGGGGTATACCAGGTATATTATAGGCGGATGAAGCCGCCTGACCACCCCCATCAAAGCCAATTTTTGAGCCGATCTCTTAGCGATCCGGCAGTCCCACGCCTAAACTACCTTCATTGGCTGCTCATTCACCGTGAGCCATTTTCGTCATGGTAGTGCACGTCACAAGGCCAACCCAAGCGAGCTTCCGAATCTCGTAGCGTATAAGGCTGAGCAGCTTTCCATAGAAAAGTATGTACAATATCGACGAACCTAGCCATGACCCTCCTCCTCAGCAAAGACAAAGTCGGGTTCGAGATCAAACAGATCAGAGTGTTGGCTAGCCCATTCCCGGCAAATATAGTTAGTATTTGCCAAATTTTGCACCATACCTAGGACTTCCTGCAGCTGCAGCGCGCACGAGGCATCTGTTTCTTGATACACCATGAGCACTTGGGCGCACAGAAGTATGGGGAGCGGTGTGAACGGGGAGATCTATCGGACATCAGTACAGCTAGCTAAATGAAAGAGATCGTTGCAAGTCACCTCAAAATAACTCAGCTGTAACACTGCCTCTGTCAGTCGGATAATCTCCTGCACAGTCAGGAGTGCCCGCTGTCGACATTGCCGCAGCGTCTCACTATTCTCAGTCGCGCGAGCCAGTAGCTCCAGTGTCAAACAATGGTATAGAATAGCCGATTGTATCATAAGATTAGGGGTGAGAGACACCGGTTCGGCTGGCAGAGTGGGCGTCACTGACTGGACTGCCGAGATGGTCCGACTCTTCTTGACAAGTACAGCATCTAGCCAGCGATGTCGCTCCCAGAAACTATTGGATATGCCGCAGTCGGCTTGCTCAGCGACTGCCTGCTGTCGGTGCAATACCGTTTTCCCACAAAGTGATGCTAGGATGACCATTTCCGAAAGCTCTGCTTTAAGAAGGGGTCTATCTTCAATGATGGTTTTCGATAGGAAACCGGTCATTTGGCTCAGTTGACCTGTCTGGAACGTCTCCTCTCTGGCGGGCAGTCGTGTCGCAATCTGTCAGACTATCAGCTAGGTACGCCGGCAATCAGAGCATCGACTTGACATACAGTTCGCTCGTCAAAGGTCAACGGGCTCTCATGTCTCAAGGAGATAAGTCGGTCCAAAATGTACGCTACCCAGAAGACGCGACGCTTCTCCTCCGCACAGACAGGGTCCTCGAATGAGTTTGCTTGGTGAGATCCTGTATTGTCCGCCCTATCAAGATCAAGTTTGTGCAGGTCGATCAGCTGCACAAGTCGGATGCCCTGACCGGCACTCACCCACCCGCGACGGAAGTTATGGTGAGTGAATTCGTAAACAGCAAGTATCAGTAAAGCCTGAACATGCTCTATTTGGTCAGTCTCGGAATCTCCATCTACTAGTTGTAGATAGCCTAACAGCTGGCGAACAGACTGGTACAGGGGCTCGCATAGATGCCTCAGCTGGGCAGACATTGATGTGGTTATCGTCCACATGGCGTACTGCAAGCATCTTCTCGACACAGACTTGTTGGGATTCCTGGTCCAGGAAAGGTAGCGCCGTGCGTTGAGAATGGGAACGAAAGCGTGTGCACGGTCAAAGTACAACTGGTCACTTGCTTGCTCAGCACAACAGCACGAAAAAAGGAATCATGATACCTACAGTTCGGCATGTAATAAGTCCGAAACCGGCACTTCCCCTACGCTTGGTGCTCCCGCTGGGGCGTTGAACTCGTTGAGAAGTACATTTAATTGGGGCTCCTCATTCCAGCCATGCACTGTGGGTTGCGCAGCAATATCACCGTTTGTGGATGTCTCTGCTGACACGGGATCTTGTGTCCGTCCAAAGAGGATATTCTCAAGATTCGCTATTGACATAAGTCCTTGTCAATATTCTTCAGAGTGGAGGATACTACTCACCAATACGCACTTGCAAGGTTTTCAAATGGCCTTTCTTGGGGCCCCGGCGGGAAGGCTGTGGGTTAAAGACACATGTTATGCCCGCGTTAGAACAATTAATGCATTGGGGATGCTTCCCATCGCAGCGCATCTTTCGGCGACGGCATTCCGCGCATGCAGAGCCAGGACGATTGCGAGATTGAGGTTGATCACTAGAAGGCGAAGGACTCGACATAGCTGGTGCGTAGGCGAATGGTGAGTCAAACAGGGGAATGCACGAGTGCCGTTTGCATGAGGTGGTGATAAACGGATATATGTCTAGCTGTGACACAGGAACCCTGAGCAGATCTTGGCTCCCACTGAACGACGGCAAGCCATGCCGAGCCAATTAGTGCGCTTTATGTTCCGAGCTATAGGGTATCCTGCAACATGAGAGGGTGGGGGTTGGGGCAGGCGGGCTAGTAGCTGAGTGGGTGGTCAAGTCAGTGTGCTGCCATTACAGCATCTTGCAGCTGAGTATGGAAGGGTAATCCTTGAGAGGCATTGCCTGTTGCGGAAATCCGAGCGAAGCCAGCATAAGCACACTGCCATGGATGTCAGATCCATAGAGGTCGGCGCTCCCAGGTCCATCTGCATGCCAGAATTTTGGTGACTTCGTCACGAAAGTGAGATCATGATGATTTGGAATAGATTTTATGAAGATCTGGAGCTGAGCTATGCAATGTTGGGGGTACCTTTTCAGAGGATACCACTCGCAGGTAACATACTTGCTGCAAACAATTATCGGGCATACTACATCTATCCAGTAATTTTTCATGCTGGTGGCTTCAGTCAAGAAGGACTAAGCTTTTCGATGGTCGTGGTAAGATTCCCGGTAATTCAATGCAGCGGCTACTGCGTGATGAGTTTCAGAGAATGCGGTCTGAACACTTGACTTAGCTTCCGTTTAAGCTGAAGTGATGGTTGCAGGAGGCTTGTCATGGCACTGAAATCTTATTGCACACCGCAACTGAGGCCCAGGGTGGCTGCATAAGTGTGCCAATAGTAATGCCAACAATCCCAAATGGCGGAATGATTCCCATCCCACTTTTCTTTGATGGGTGGCACAATCAGCCCTGTACCAATACATCTCAGGGTGCATGTCGTATTTGTCGAGGGGCGAACAAAATGATATCCGCAGTAATGGGATGATAGAGTGCAGTATCTGAAGAGATGGCGCTTATAAAATCCATGTCTATTGGATATATTTGCCTGTGATGTGATAGATACCTTTGTATTCCGTATACATTCATTTCCTCGTGTTGCTTGGATATAAGATTAGTCTGTTTTTTCGGCTAACCGGGCAATCCATACTCTGCATTGCTAGAGCTGCACACTCCATCCTGCGTGCAGCGGTTAGCTTTTAAACGTGCAGACTAGAAAGACTGGCGTATTTTGGGGGATACTAGACGTAAGAGCGTGCTCGG